GCACGCATGCCAGGCGAGCGCGCTACGGCTTGAGCCACATTCCCAGCCCCAATGATGCTTCTATTGTTTCCTAAATAAAGAGCCAAGAAATTTGTTCCAGACTTTTTTCTCAGAGTGCATGAGCCTACATTATATGCATCCTTAACCCCAATAGTTAATTAATCGTAACATAAACATCATGTACCCTCAGTAATTCTTTTTTTTTTTAACCCTCGGTAATTCTAATGCAATATTTTCCCCTTTTCAGAAATATCCCATAATGCATTTTTAGGAATTAGCAGCTGGTGTTCTGACACAACACCTGTTGAAAAACTCAAGCAAAGGATGCAAAATGGAGGGTAGATCTCCATCAGAACAATGATTTAAAAATGGATTTGACCAGAAATATTTGCCTCAGGAACAAACCCCATCCTGTTTTTTTTTTGAGATGGTGTGTGTGTGTGTCTAACTATGCTGCCAGATTTGGTCTGGGATTCTGGGCTCAAGTGATCTTTTCGCCTCAGCTTACAGAATAGCTGGGACTTCAAGTGCATGCCACCTCGCCCGGATTTTACTTCAACTTTTCACGCATTCATTTTACAATATAAGAAGCAATAACAACTTAATACCCCATTACAACTACTGGCGTAGAACTTATCTTTCTCCCAAATGGGACCCGGACTATAGATTCAAGAGCACCTCTTGAATTTAATAGGGAAATGAGTCTGGAACTGGAAAGAGGGCTAAAGCAAGAGAGCACCACAAGGTGGCACTGTTTCAGTAGACTTGCAAAAACCCGACAGCGCCCAGGGAGCTCTCAAGAAGCCCCCAGGGAGCGCTAGTGCTTTGGGGGCTTGGGAAGGGCGGCAGGCCCTCTGCTCCAAGGAAGGACTGAATTTAGGATGGTTGGTGGTCCAGACGTGGCGTTGTGACCGCACTCTCCTATCGGCTCTGCTATCATGAATGGTATCGAGGAGGTCCTGCTGTCCCCAGGAAGCATCGGTTGCATGGCTGAGCCTCTGTCCCTAGGGCCTGCTGGGCCCCAGGATCTCTGAGTAAGGCGGCTAGAGCGGGCCCCAAATTCCCTGAAACGTGGGTGAGATGAGAAGCAGCCTCCCTCTGCGCGCTTGCTGCGCGCCACCAGACTGTGGCTAAAAATGAGTTCCTGCGCCTCATTTCCCCAGCGTGGGTCTCCACATCTGGGCCCTCTGCGTGGGCGCCTGGGTGAGGGTCTCTTGCGCCAATCCGACGCCGGAGGCCCTTGGAGACCCTTGGCCGCACGAAGCCCTACCGCCCGGTTCTCTCCTCTCTGGCGACCAGAGGCGACCCAGGATGAACACAATCGGGGCCAAGTCCTGGTTTTAATTTTACTCCCAGTGGCGAGGAACTAGGAGGCTCCAAACCCCACAAACAGGAAGGAGGGAAGGCCCTGGAGAGCGGGCAGTAGGAGGGCGATTCCCAGCAGCGCGACTCGGGATGGGCCGGGGGCGGGGACGGGGGCAGAAACGCGCATCCCATCCCCCACGTGCCGGCGAGAGGGTCCCGGGAGCGCGACCGGGTGGTTGGAGTAGCCGGG